CCCGTCGTTTTTCAACAAACTCGACATTTACAAGTTCACGAATATATCGCATATACTTTTTTAAAAGAACGTGGAATTCCAACTCCACCCTTTGGAGTAGCTAAAACTCCAGATGAGGCTGCCAAGATAGCAGCGGATCTCAAGACGAAAGATATCGTTTTAAAAGCACAAGTTTATGCTGGAGGGCGTGGACTGGGGCATTTTGAAGGTACCAATGTCAGCGGTGTTGAAATGTGTGAAACGTGAGTTTAATCAATTCAATCAATGCTATTGTGGTATTGTATTTTTTATATTATACTAAAATTGATATAATTTTTAGTCCTGAACAAGCAAAAACTTTGGCTAGTAGTATGATAGGCAAATTGCTAATAACTAAACAAACTGGAACACCTGGAAAAATCTGTAATTCAGTAATGGTGACAACACGTATGTTTCCACGCAAAGAATATTATATATCAGTAATGATGGAAACTTCTTTTGATGTAAATTACAATCATTTATTTTTATAATTAGATTGTGGATTTTATGCAAATTTATATATTTACAAATACAGAGAAAGAATTTCAAATTGACTTGAACTATATTTACTAAAAATATGTAATAACATGTACGTATTTTGATATTTTGTATAATTTTGCATAAATGTATAATTATTCGCAGTCTAATTGTAACGGTCGTTGAATTTATTATTCAAAATAAAAAAAATAAATTATTTTCAGGGTCCTGTTATAATCGTATCTAAACAAGGCGGTATAAATATAGAAGATATTGCCGCCACAAATCCCGAAGCTATATCGTATACACCAATAAATATCATGAAAGGTTTAACACTTGAACAACTAAATAAAATTGTGGATGATTTGGGTATACAAGAAGAAGGAAGAAAGATTACTTCATCAATTATTTGTAATCTGTATGAACTATTTATCGAGAAAGACGCGTTATTACTTGAAATTAATCCATTTGCATTAGATATTTGCGGAGAATGTATGTCGTGAAGGAAGATTTACCGGATATTTTGTTAAATGGAAAATAATAATAATAAATGTTATATATTTTCAGATTTTGCTTTAGATTGTAAGTGTTCTTTTGACGATAGTTCAGAATTCAGGCAGAAGAAACTATTTGCATTGCAGGATTTCACACAAATAGATCCTAACGAGGTACAAGCATCTAAGTTTTATCTAAATTACATAGCTTTAGATGGAAACATAGGATGTTTAGTAAATGGAGCTGGATTAGCAATGGCCACTATGGACCTCATACAACGCAATGGCGGCATGCCAGCCAATTTTTTAGATGTGAGCGGTAATGCTACTGCAGAAAGTGTAAAGGAAGCTTTTAAGATAATTGTTTCTGATCCGAAGGTATTTTAAACATTCAAATTATACTTTTTCTCAATTTAACATAACATTTGATAGATTGCTTTTTACGAACTTTCAGGTGGAAGCAATTTTTATAAATATATTTGGTGGTATTATAAGATGTGATATAATTGCACAGGGTATTATCGATATATCAAAAGAAGTAAAATTAAATGTTCCCGTAGTTGTAAGGCTGCAGGTAATTCATAGATAATACACAAGGAAACATTATACGTTATTTTGTACTAATCCAATCAAATTATATAGGGAACTAATGTAGACAAAGCAAATCAACTGATAAAGGAAGCACAATTAAAAGTTATCTCTGTAGACGATTTTGCTAAGGCTGCTGAATCGGCTGTAAAATTGGCATTAATGGTGCGAGTTGCAAAATCTATGAATTTAGACCTTATTTTTATGTCCAAACAATTGTCTACAAAAAAGGAAGAAAAAAGTAAGAAATCCAAATGAAATAAATTTTTATATTTTTTAAGAAATAACATATAGCTGTTATTTATGAATACATGTATATTACAAATATATTTGTTATGTATGTATGTAAATTGCAAAATTATGAGAATATACTGTAAGAAAATTATACATATTGTTTTCACCCTTTTTTACATTACATATATCTATATAGATATAAATATGTTTTGTGATAAATGAATTTTTTTTTTAAGATTTATAACATAATATAATTGTAAGAATAGTGTGAAACTGTTATTGCCAGTGCACAAAGAATGATTTATTTTTCTTAAAATGTACAAACATTTTATAATTTATTCTATTGGAACGAAGTTGAAAAATAACAATACAAATATTTGAATCAATCTGAATTAAATTAATTACATTTTTTTCAATGTACAAACGTAATAATTTATAAAATTAATACAATGAATTTATTACTGAAAGTTATAATTTAGAAAGAAACGAAATGAAAAATATAAATCGGAGAAAATTTAAATAGGTACAAAGTAGTGCGACAATCGCGGGCTTTGCTCGCGGAGTTTGCGTCATGTTTTTGCAGGAAACATCAAGAAGGTGGGGACGGGGACTTGAAGGCGCAGTTTACACTTTGCAGTCCACTGCCACTGCTTTAGTAAGATGGCCACCATGTTGTCCCGGACTATCTCACTCGTTGAAAATTTCACCCGATTCAGCGGATCAAAGGTATATTAAATATCCTAGCCTTTCTATCGTATTATATCGTTCGTTCATAGTAATTCTCATTTGCGAATATCGTCTAATTTCATTTTCGGGAATCCATCAATATTTACGCCAATGATTCATAAGTGGTGTAATCACCATATTAGATATCTGTAGTCTGCTAAATTGGGCGCCAGGGTCAGACGATTCGAAGCCAAAGATTGTGGCCTTGTGCTGAACCAAGCTTTTTTTACGAAATACAAGTGACAGTTGTGCAACACGAACATGAGAATTTTCACAATCAATCTCCCGTTAAGCATTGACTCTTTTGTACTTAAATAATACTTATTCAATTAGATAGTAATGAACATGTTATTTGTCAAATTTCCCAGAATTTTTGTTACGAAAATTTAAAATTCGAGTGATCGATCATCAGTATCGATTATTTTCATCTTACTTCTTTAAAGAACTGACTTGTTATATACATATATGTGTATGTGTGTGTATTATTATAATTATGTTTGTTGTTTGTTATCTTCTCTTAGTTTGATCAGTCAATGTATATCTTTACTAAAGGCAAAATAAAATACAAGTGTCAAGTAGTTGACTATGTAGGTCATTACCACTGATTGATCTTTGTGTTCAGGGTATTTTTACATCTTCTTACTTCTTACTCTTAATAAACAATTGACATCTACTGTTATCAAATGTAGTCAATAGATTTATGTTATGTATGCTTTATTTATTGTTATTGATTTATTTCTATTTTATTTATACAGATATTGGGATGCAAAACCAACTTAGTAAAGCAACCAGTTAGGAATTTAAATGTCCATGAACACATCAGTTATAGTTTATTAAATGAAGCCGGAGTTCCAACTCCTAAGTTTGGAGTTGCTAAAACTCCAGATGAGGCTGCCAAACTTGCTGCGGACTTGAAAACCAAAGATATTGTTTTGAAAGCCCAAGTCTTAGCTGGTGGCAGAGGAAAAGGGCATTTTAAGGGAACTAACGTTAGTGGTGTAAAGATGTGTGAAACGTAAGTTATCATGAATAAATAATAATAAATATGTATGTTTTATGTTACATTATTTATTTATTTATTTATTTATTTTTATAGACCAGAAGAAGCAAAGAAATTAGCCAGTCAAATGTTAGGTAAATTGTTAATTACAAAACAGACAGGTGAAGCAGGTAGAATATGCAATGCCGTAATGGTTACACAACGCATGTTTCCTCGTAAAGAATATTACCTTGCAGTCATGATGGAAAGAGCCTTTGGTGTAAGTTGTTGAATAAATATAATTTTACTAAATGAAAAAAATAATTCTTTTAATTGAAAAATTTCTTATTTTAGGGTCCAGTCATAATTGCTTCGAGTCAAGGTGGTGTAAATATTGAGGAAGTTGCTGCAACGAATCCTAGTGCTATCATGTATGAACCCATTGATATTTATAAGGGTATAACAAAAGATCAAGCAGAACGTATTGCTGTTAAGCTTGGACTTCAAAATGTTAAAGATTATATTTCTAACATCATCATAAATTTGTATCAGATGTTCCTTAAAAAAGATGCCCTTTTATTAGAAGTGAATCCCTTAGCAGAAGATGTTAATGGAGAATGTAAATTTAATTCTAGAAATTACGTATTATTATCTTATAAAGCAACATCTAAAAATTTCATTTTTTAATATACAGACTTTGCTTTGGATTGCAAGTGCAGATTCGATGATAATGCTGAATTTAGACAAAAGGAATTGTTTTCCTTGAGAGATTGGACTCAAGAAGATTCTAAGGAAGTTGAAGCTGCTAAATATGATTTAAATTACATTGCACTTGATGGTAACATTGGTTGTATGGTAAATGGCGCTGGTTTAGCCATGGCTACTATGGATATCATAAAATTGCATGGAGGAGAACCAGCCAATTTCTTAGATGTAGGCGGTGGTGCATCTACAAGTGCCGTGAAAGAAGCATTTAAGATAATTACATCTGATTCACGAGTGAGTTAGATAACATAGAAATTATGATTTTAAATATTAGTAAAATAGATAAATATTTTTTACCAATCAGTTATAAGTTTATAATTATTAATTATTATTATCAATTATAGGTTCACGCTCTTTTAGTTAACATATTTGGTGGAATTATGAGATGTGATGTTATTGCCGAGGGAATCATTGCTGCAACTAAAGAACTTAGCTTAAAAATCCCTGTTGTTGTTCGATTACAGGTATAATTCTAAATATGTATTAATATTTTAATGAAGTAATTGACATAAATTTAATTTTATTTAATTATATTGCCATTTTAGGGAACAAATGTAGACGAAGCAAAAGCTCTTATCGCAAATGCAGGTTTAAAAATTGTACCGATTGATGATCTTGATGAAGCTGCCCGAGTCGCGGTTAAATTATCAACGATTGTTAAATTGGCACAATCTGAAAATCTTAGCGTTAATTTCGAAATACCTTCAATTTCATAAATTTAGTTAAAATTATCAGAAAAACTTCGAAGATAAATATTTGACACAACATTTGAAAGTAATAATTAGATTAATAATTTGAAATTTCGTATTCGTACTATTTTTCATATTTCATATTTTTCATATTACTTTATGTGTTTCTATTGCAAGTGGATTGGAAAGTAAATTTGTTGAAATTTTTGTTTTGTTCGATGTTCAGAACATCTGTATTCTATATATTTATAATTTTATTTTCTATAAAAAGAAGGAAAAAACTGAACACATTTAATTACAATCTTGTACAGTTGAAATGTAAAAAGTAGTAGACAATTGATGTTACTTCCTTCTTAATGCAAGCACAAATTCATTCCCAAGAAGTACATAAACTTCTTCAAGAATGTAATTTATTGCTTACCCATTTAATGGGTTCCTGTGATTCAGTATTAAAATTAAGTTACATGATATGCACTGATGTAGTCACATTTTGTACACGAAAGTGTACTCTACATTTTTTCAAAGCTTATATATGTGCTAACAAAAAAGTACATGATTACTGTCCAAGAAACGAAACCTTTTATATAACCATCCACAAAAAAAATTGTTATAACTGAGATATTATACGAGAGATGACTGTAATGTCTCATTTGAAAAGAAGGGCCTGTTTAATGTAATATAGACAAATGTAGTTACATGTATACATATATAAATTATTTTACGTAATTTTTATTTGTTCTTATTTTATTAATGGCAACGTAATGTTCACGGTTTCTTGATTCCCCGAAACATAATTTCATTATGAAATAATCGGATTACAATTTATCAGTATTATGACAACGTGGCCACGCAATGATAAAGTCGTTATGATATATTGTTTGCATTTACATTATACATATTACACTGTTACAAAATATACTGCATTGTTAAATAAATCATAATATAATTTAATTTATTAAAAGAAATTTATATATAAAAGAAGTTTATCAATCAGTAAATGTAATATTATTTTAAATATAAGATAAAAATATATCGAATAAAATTTGTCATGTTCCTCTGAATACGAAGTTATTTGAAAAAGTTTCTGCTTAAATGTAATTGTTATAATCAGCAATAATTATCTTTTTCAATAAAAATATGTAACTGTTAAGGTCAGTATTCTTTTCATTTGTCTAAATTTAATTTGAAATATGTAGAAAAAAATATTAATAGTCGGAAATTATTTTTAATTTTAGATCTTTTTAAGTTGGCCTTCCTGCTTGATGAACACCTTATATACGATTGGTATTTGCAATTCATTTCGAATAACGCGCGTAATGAAATCTTTTAATGTCATCTTTCCTTATTCTTTTAAGGTACTAAATTTAAATCATTAATATTTAAAGAATGGCAAGAACAAAGAAAAAAAACGCGGTTTTGCAAGAAGTAGGATTTTAAAAAACTCATCTTTTTTAATAAATTATTTTGAAAATTTTTATTGTTTTTTTGTTCTTTTACTGTAATCGAATTTATTTCTTATGGATTTAGTCTTTTTACTATTTTCATAAATATCTTGTAACTTTATTTGAATTATTTTTTATTATTAAAATATCAAAGAATTTTATTAATTTTATTAATCTTTCATTAATATTTATTTGTAGCTGTTGGTAGCGAAGCTGGTCAAATAAATCCATAAAAAAAGAGTTCAGAAATCAAGTAGCAAAGGTAAGGTTTATATTTTTATTAAACTAAAGATATAGAATTTTAAGAAATTGTAATTTCAGGTGATGATCCATATCCAAGGAGGAAAATCCAGACTAGTAAGAACTTATTATATGCTTTTTTAATCAAGGTTCTTTGAAAGAGTTTGAATTCTTGTCAGTAACTCAGGTACATAATAATGATATTATTAATGAATATATTTAGATAATAAAACGCTAAATAACACATAATTTTAAATAATAGGAAGATTCATTAATTTTAGCTGTAAAAAATGAGTTGGATTAAAGTTGCCCAACATTGTTGAATTGCTATGGTATTATCGCATTGTTATTTATCAGTACAAAAGATTATTTAATATTTCAAACCAACACAAGCATGATTCTTAATTTTAATTAATGTAACATAAATAAAGAAATAAGAAAGAACACAGGCAAATGTTAAAAATAGTATTAATTTAAATATAAATTAAGTATATATATATATATATATTTTTTTTTTACTTAACATTTGTGATCATAATGTGATCAATATTAAATACAATATTTATAATTTACAGAGAACAACTTGTTCAATACGTATTCCAATAAAATTATCTTTATTAAATGAAGGAAATAGCATTTATAAAATAAATTTATTTAGATCGAGGATACTATCGAATTATTGAAACTTGCAAAAAAAATCTCCACGCGTAAGAAATATGTATCATTTAAGTGATATTAAATGTGCTAGGAAGAAATGAACCAATCGTGAAGCTATATTCCGATGTTTCTTTTCCACGGTTGTTGTTCCATTAGCTTTAGGAACGCATTTTCCATCAAAATTTTGGCAGTCCAAGTTGCGGTAAAGATTCGCAGTATTGAAATGCTGCCGACAGTGAAATTTCATTAAAATACAGTTTCTAAAGAACGATTTTCTATCGAACAAGCGTAATCGAGTTCAGTGTCGTCTGCTTCAACGGAGCTTCGTAGTTTTTTTTTCTTTTCGTTTCATTATAACGCAAAATATTGAAACGACAACTGTAACCGGCTGTAAAAGTTTTCAATCATGGCTAGTGTTTCTTATCAAATTGCAAACCTGCTAGAAAAGGTATTTAACGTGTTTCTTTGAATGTACGCTGCACAATCTTTTCGTTTTTTTATACAGAGATAAAATTGGGGAGAATGTTGTCGTCTAACTCTCGGCTATGAGATTCAACTTCCACATAACCTCGCTTTATTATTTAAAAAAATATGTAACAATTCTTATAAGAAGTTACTTGCTAATTCTCAGCGCGGCCAATGATATTACGCTCGTTTAATATTATTTCTTCTAAAATTATAATAGAATTTTTTATTATTATATACATCATATGCATAAGTGTAAAATTTATGAATTCATTGTCAGCAAGAAACAAAGGTGTTTTCAACTGTCATAAAGATAACATCATATGTATATATATATGTCTATAGATATATATATAAATAATTTTTACCTTTCATTAGAATAATTCAATTTTGTATTTATAAGATCATTAGTCACTTCATTGTTTATTATTAATAATTTAGTAATTTTTGCTTGCATATGGTAATTTTAAAAGTATAAGTAATATTTGTATAAATATTTAATTTGTTTTATTATTTTAGATGACGTCCACTGATAAGGACTTCAGATTTATGGCAACGAATGATTTAATGAGTGAGCTCCAGAAAGACAATATCAAACTGGATGATGATTCAGAACGTAAAGTTGTAAAAATGCTTCTAAAGCTATTGGAGGACAAAAATGGAGAAGTACAAAATCTTGCTGTAAAATGGTACACTTACATTTAGATTTAGGCATAAATTCTTTTGGTTTGGAATTTCATAATGATATTGTGTGTTTATTTGAGCGTTAGTTATGTTTCTTTTCTTTTTTTTTATAAATTAAATATTGCTTGTGTGTTCAAAACGCATATTATGTTTGCAAGATTTTCTTTGTATTTGGACACGATTACAGAAACGTGTCCAATTTCAGTTTGGGCCCACTAGTCAATAAGGTAAAGGAGTACCAGGTGGAAACTATTGTAGATGCCCTATGTATTAACATGGTGTCAGATAAAGAACAATTAAGGGATATTTCCAGTATTGGTTTGAAGACTGTAATATCTGAGCTTCCTTTGGGATCCAGTGCACTTGTTGCGAATGTTTGTAAACGAATAACCGGCCGTCTAAGTAGTGCTATAGAAAAAGTAATTAATGATGTCCACAACTTATAATAACACATTTCAAAGTCATTAAAGTAAAATTTTACATTATATATTCAGAATAAAAGAAATAATTCTTTATTACATACAGCAGGAGGATGTATCCGTACAACTTGAGGCACTCGATATTATGGCCGACTTACTGTCCCGATTCGGTGCTTTGCTAATTACGTTCCATTCCACTATTTTGGCCGCATTGTTGCCGCAACTTTCTTCTCCTCGTCAAGCTGTACGAAAGCGTACTATAATAGCGCTGAGCCATCTTCTAACTTCAAGCAACAATTATTTGTACAATAAACTTGTAGATCATCTACTCGAAGGTCTTTATACTCAAACAGCGAAAAATGTAATACGTACTTATATACAATGTATTGCTTCCATTTGGTAAGTATTTTGCGAATTTATTACTTGTGCATTACTTTTATTATTAAATTTACTTATTCATTTCATTGTTAAATTTCAGTCGTCAAGCAGGGCACAGATTTGGAGAGCAAATAGAAAAAGTTATGCCACTAATTGTACAGTATAGCAATGAAGATGATGATGAACTAAGGGAGTATTGTTTACAAGCATTTGAATCTTTTGTATACAGATGTCCTAAAGAAATTACTCCGCATATAAATAAAGTGCGCACATTTTCTTAAATAATTTTAATATTTCAGATTCACTGGAATTATTCAGAAATTAGAATTAAATTGTATTTTGTTGTTAGATTATAGAAATTTGTTTGGTTTACATCACATATGATCCAAATTACAATTATGATGATGACATGAACGATATGTCTGATGGAGAAGATGTTATGATGGAAGTAGAAGAAGATGGAGAGGAGGATGCAGAAGACGAATATTCAGATGACGATGATATGAGTTGGAAAGTTCGTAGAGCAGCCGCGAAATGTCTTGAAGCTGTTGTGTCTAGTAGACGAGAGCTTCTTCCCGAACTTTATAAACTTGTTTCTCCAGCTCTGATTTCAAGATTTAAAGGTATCCTTCGAGTGGAACAGCTCAATAGGAAATTGGTGTTAGTTAAATTGGTACTAATATAATTTTACTTTTGTAGAAAGAGAGGAAAATGTAAAGTCCGATATTTTTCACGCTTATATTGCGCTTTTAAGACAAACAAGACCAGCTGCTGGCGTGGCTCTTGACCCGGATGCAATGGAAGATGACGATGGACCGATTGCATTGTTACAGCAACAAGTCCCATTGATTGTGAAAGCTGTTCACCGTCAAATGAAAGAAAAAAGCATTAAAACAAGGCAAGATTGCTTCTCACTGCTGAAGGAATTAGTGCTCGTATTGCCCGGTGCTTTAAGTAATCACATACCTGCGTTGATACCTGGTATACAATACTCTTTGGGGGACAAAAATTCTTCATCCAACATGAAAATTGATGCATTGGCATTTGTACATACGTTATTAATAACCCATCAACCAGAAGTATTTCACGCTCATATGGCAGTGTTGGCACCGCCGATTATAGCAGCTGTCGGAGATTCGTTTTATAAAATTACAGCGGAAGCATTGCTGGTATTACAGCAACTTGTTCAAGTAATCAGACCACATGGTAAATAAATTTATTTGATTATGGATTTAGAAAGGAATTAATGAATGATTAAAATCGTTATAATAAATATTATTTCAGATAAATCGTGTTATTTTGATTTTACATCATTATCTGGGGAGATATATCGTTGCACATTAATGAGATTGAGAACAGCGGATATTGATCAAGAAGTGAAAGAAAGAGCGATCGCTTGCATGGGTCAAATTCTTGCGCATTTTGGAGATACACTGTCTGATGAATTGCACGTATGCCTTCCTATATTCCTGGATAGACTTCGTAATGAGATCACTCGACTTACAACAGTAAAAGCTTTGACTTGCATAGCCTCATCTCCTCTAAGAGTAGATCTTAATCAAATTATGGTACATATGTTGCCTTTATAAATTAATACCTTAGAGGAATACAATGTAATACATTATTGTATTTATTTCATTTTATTATGTCATCTTAGGAAGAAGCAATTCCAATTCTTGGATCTTTCCTGAGAAAAAATCAACGTGCTTTAAAATTATGTTCTCTTCCGCTTTTGGATACATTGGTTCGAAATTATAGCTCTACCCTTCACACCGATTTATTGGACAAGGTAATATATAAAAAACAAATAATGATTAGCAGCCCACGTTATAACAAAGTATCTTATTAGGTCACTACAGAATTACCAGCGTTATTAAACGAGACTGATTTACATATTGCACAATTGACCCTTAATCTTCTCACTACTATAGCAAAGTTACATCCAGTCGCTCTTACAAGAGTTTCTGATAACATCCTTCCAGAAATATTAGTTTTGGTGAAGTCTCCACTTCTTCAGGGTAATATATATAATTATTATTTAAATAAAAATATATATAACAAAAATATTAATTCTTGTTATATTGATTCTTTATATTTTAGGGGTAGCTTTAAATTCGATGTTAGAATTTTTCCAAGCATTAGTGCAAGCAGATATACCAGGTCTTGGTTACAGAGAACTACTCTCAATGTTATTAGCTCCTGTCAGTCAATCCGTACTTCACAAACAAGCTTATCATTCCTTAGCAAAATGTGCAGCTGCATTAACAATCACCTGGCATCAAGAAGCTCAAGCGGTGGTTGAGCAATTTTTAAAAGATGTTCAAAATCCTCAGAGTGATGCGCAGCATATTTTTGCGTTATTGGTTATTGGTGAAATAGGTAGACACGTGTAAGTGATACTACATGTGCAATAGGTATTATTATATCGGTTTTGAGTTGTTTATATCACATAAATTATCTTTTACTTAGGGATTTGAGTGGAATTAGTTCTCTGAAGCATATCATTTTGAATTCATTCTCTTCCCATTCGGAGGAAGTAAAGTCAGCAGCTAGTTACACATTGGGTAACATAGCGGTTGGTAATCTTCCAAAATATTTACCATTCATATTGAAAGAAATTGAGGCACAACCAAAGCGTCAGTATCTTCTCCTACATTCGTTGAAAGAGGTAAACTTTTTTAAACATTTCAAATTTCGTTTTATTTTTATTGGAAACATACAGTTCTTTGAAAATTTGATGGATTGCAGATAATTACGTGTCAGTCTGCTAGTCCATCCGGGGTAACTCATTTGCAAAACTTCGTGCCTTCGATCTGGATGCTTTTATATAGGCATTGCGAATGCACAGAAGAAGGTACCCGTAACGTTGTAGCAGAATGCCTAGGAAAACTTACTTTAATCGATCCTGCTACTTTGTTGCCAAGATTACAAGAATCATTAAAATCAACATCTGCTCTTTTAAGAACCACTACAGTTACAGCTGTTAAATTCACTATTTCTGATCAGGTATTTCATATATTAATTTTAGTTACTAAAATAAATAAATTAATTTTTTAATGGCTTTGCAGCCACAACAAATCGATGCTATGTTAAAACAACGTATGGATAGTTTCTTAGTTGCTTTGGAAGATCCTGATCTGAATGTCAGAAGGGTAGCTTTAGTTGCATTTAATTCAGCAGCTCATAATAAACCAATGCTAATAAGAGATTTATTAGACTCTGTGTTACCACATCTTTATACTGAAACTAAGATTAAGGTATTTGGCAATGAGCGATTTACATAATAATATAAATTTACGTATGTCATTTATTGAATTATTGAATTTATTATTGTATTTAATAATTTAAATGTAGAAAGAATTAATAAGGGAAGTGGAAATGGGTCCATTTAAACATACAGTCGATGATGGTTTAGACCTCAGAAAAGCAGCATTTGAGTGCATGTACACATTGCTCGACTCTTGTCTCGATCGTCTTGATGTTTTCGAATTCTTAAATCACGTTGAAAATGGTCTTAGAGATCATTATGACATTAAAATGTTAACTTACCTAATGACTGCGAGACTTGCTCAATTATGTCCCACGGCAGTTTTGCAGAGTAAGTATACAATATGAATTATAAATTAATTATTGATCTTTATTAATGAGATGTTTGATTGTTTGTAGGGTTAGAACGATTAGTCGAACCATTGAAAAGCACTTGTACAATGAAAGTAAAAGCGAATTCTGTGAAACAGGAATATGAAAAACAAGATGAACTTAAACGTTCGGCATTAAGAGCCGTGGCAGCGTTGTTAACTATTCCAGATGCTGGTAAAAGATAAAAGATCATTTATCTGGAAATTATTTCTTTACAAGTTTTTCATTAATTTTGCTTAATTTGATTCATCAATTTTTGTTCTTCTTTTTCAGATAAAAATCCATCGTTAAGCGAATTTGTTACACAGATCAAATCAACGCCCGAATTACAACCACTTTTCGATATAATTCAAAAAGATTGTACTGGTAGTAACGTGAATGAAACCAATGTCATGGATCAGAGCTAAAATATCCACGACTTACTTTTTGTATTTCACATAGATCGCTGTTAGCTAAGCATCCACGATCATATTATTCATAGTTTATTTCTATACGTTATTTTTTCATTATTATCTTCGATCTGAATTGTAGTTTGAGATGAATGTGATTTCATGTAATACACCATGTATAAATTATAAAATAAATTTGCCAATTGTAAGCATCTTACAATAACGATTTTTCTTTTAATAATAAAAAGAAAATTCTAGTCTGGTTTAACTGATTTTACGAAAGAAAGAAAAATATAAAATTTTGTTTTTCAGTTGCACAGTCCAACTTAAAAATTTATGATTAAGGTGCCATCTGCTCATGCACATATTTGCCTGTTCCATTTGTTGACTTATACACAATCAATAAATTTATTGGCAAAGGTAATTACTACTTTCCTTCAAATAAATGCCTATTTATAAGTTGTAAGTTGAGGTTTTTAATTTTATTAATCTAAAAATGGATCTCGGCCAATTATATTTCACGTAATGAAAGCTACTTTCTATAAATATTATGCATATCCATATGTTTCGTGTAATGTTGAGTGATGCTATTAATAAAACTGTAAATCATTAGTGCCAAAAATAAATGAAGTTTAAGGAATACACACTTTGGGGGCGATACTTTGCCAAATATTTTGCGGTCGACAACCTTTAATCTTATGCTATAGCTATGATAATAATCTTGATAATTTTGGCACTAAAATTTGTTAATAGTCACGCTGATGGACAACCGTTTGATTTATCTGATATAATTGAAACTTCCCAATTTAAATATAACACATATATAGAATTTAAAAAATAACAAAGATGAATTATTTTACTTCATAATTCAAATTTTTTTACTATTATAGTTAAAATTTTCCTACTATTTTATACCTATCAAATTTAATTACATTTGAATCTAATTAAAAAAATTTCTGAATAAGATTCTTAATAATCTCATAATCATTAATTTCTGTTTCAGGTCACGAAATGTTTTGGCCGCATTCCTGTGCTCCAGATGACAACTGCATCGAACATAAAAGTTGTCTGAGCCATTGATTGAATCATTTAACACAAGATTTGTTTTTCTTGCGTGCTCGTGATAATTTTCATGTAAGCTCCGCAGTCCTTCACCTAATTCCGAAACCTGTCGCTAATCACGTTTCCCAACCAAAAATCTTTTACTACTTTTGGAATGTATCTTCAATTTATAAAAAATATATAATATCGTTGCAGGAATCTCTTTTATTAATATCGAAAAGATTAGATTAGTAATAAATAATAATACGTAGATAATTACTGTAAACTTAAATAATCAATTGTGAAAGGCTATCGCTAGAATACGAAGAGAGGAAGAGAGAGAGAGAGAGAGAGAGTTGCTAAGAAAAATTAATTACGCAATTTATCATCGTGAATTCGAAATTAGGCCACATACTCGTGAGAAATGTGTATGCTATATATAAAAAAAAATTCTCCGAATCGTAGACCACCGAAATTTCTAACGTTGCAGAAAATCACGTAGACATCCGCAAGCTGAACCACTTTTAACTCGGCTAGCGATGCCTAGTGTGATGCTACAACGCACGTAGACCCAACTTGATCAACGCCTAGTCATCAATTATCTTTATACCTTTCGACGAAACGTTAGTTTCGTCTAAATATTTGTCATTAACTCATTTACATTTGATATATGATCGTTTCAAACGTTTGCTTTACTTTCTAAAATGTTTCAACATTCGAAACTTAATACACAATATTATCGAAATTTTTTTAAACGTATTACGCTATTTATAAAATTATTTGAAAAACTATAAACTCATACACGGTAGTAATATGTAAAAATAATATGTAAAATAACACGGAGTAATATGTAGAAAACAATTTCTTTCCTTATGAAGTGAATGCTTCCTTGTTCTTACTTAACAATGGTCGTGTCTCGTTTCACATCCTCTTTTCTTTTACGGGGATCAGTACTTTTTTTCATGACTGAAAAAGAATTACGTAGTATAATATGTAAAAAGGATCGTATTACTAAAATTTTATTCTGTAATTATATTTGATTCTAACATTTTATATTATTTAAAAAGAAACTCGTAAGATGTTTAGAGTTGAGAGTCAAGTTATGCCTTCATGTGAATATCATCGACGAAAGAACAACTTGGGAACACGTTTATTACTCGAATATCTTTCATCATCGTGCAGTTCGCTGGTGGTACCCCTTCATTTGAAATCAAGCGAGTGAAAAACAGCAATTGCCGGATAAAGCTAGTGCGCAGTCGAAATGTGCCATTCGATTCGTTCATTTTCTTTTCTTCTTTTTTTCCACAACCTTGCCACCATTCTTCTTCTTTCTTGCATACGAACAGTGCGCCGCTTTCTTTTTTGGGACTCGTCTACGAATTTATTTCGCAAGTTAAATTTATCGAATCGTATTCGTAAAAAAAATTCGTACAAGAATTGCACAGAATATCATTCGATTGATGCAATGCAAGATGAAGAAATTTGAAATGTTATTCAAACGACAAAATTGATCATTTCCGTTAAATAATTACAGTCTTATAGGGATGATTTAATTATTAACAAAATGAATGATCCAGGAAATCCGAATGAAAGGACGTTAATCCCATTTTAGGAACGCTAATCGCGTAAGATAAATTAAGATCTATATCAATCTATTGTAATTAAATCCAACAAGCCTTTATTTCCTGTGCTTCTATTCATAATTATTTGCCAATATATCAGAGAAAGCGAAAAACATCCGTTTAATATAAAATGCGTTTATATTCCGGCAGCGATAATATCTATACTTTATACTCCTCACCCAATATTGATATCTATTAAATCACAGAATGATCTTTTTCTTTTTCTTTTTATTTCAGTTTTTCAAATGTATAATATATAATATTTCTGACATTACCTCACAACATTTAGCCCTTTCTTAATGCTATTGTATGTTTCCAATTGATTACAAAATCTTAAAAACCATGTACTCGTCCTTGGTTTAAGGACATCATTCATCCAACTCTGACCGTTTTCTTTTTTTCGTTTCAGTCGCGAAAGATCAATGGCGCGACGAAGAACTTGCATCTTACATTGTGACGGACAGAAAACGAATCTGTAAAAAAAGAAAGAGGTAACGCACTTGAGAAAGGGAAATCGTGAGAGTAGAAACTTGATCTCAAAGGACGAAAAGGAGTGCCTCGATTTCGTAAAAATAATTAAACGTAATAATGTTAAATCTTCGTTTCAGATCGGTGTACTCATCCCTCAAATTCGGGGTTTCTCGAATGGCTAACCCTTCCGTTTGCGTGGCCCCGTGATTGGTCGACCGTCGACGATTGGTGGGGTGGTATAAAAGGGGGTTACCTCCACGGAGCAGCGCACTGTGCGACAGTACAATTTCGTCTACGCGTCGATTCAAGTCACGACCTCTAAATTACCTCTAAATTCGAAACGGTTCAGGTAAAATTTCGACGGGTCCCGCTCGTGCGTAATTCGGTGTAAACGATTCAGTACGTTTCGAACAGTTAATCGTTGCGTTTCCACCACGCGCGAGATCTTGACCGATAGGTTATCGAAAGGAGAAGAGCCATGTGTGTACGTACGTTGCTCGGTACCGAAACCAACGAGCCGGTAGTGGTATACAACAATCAGAACAAGCTCCAGAAAGCAAAAGAAAAGTACATAAAGTTGCACGATGATCTGGTCACTAAGGAACTGGAGATTGTCAAACAGCGGAAGAATCAGACGGTCCTCATACCAGAACTTGCCGATGACATCTTGAGAGCCAGCACCATAAACTACAGCTCGCTTTTGAAAGTTCTGTGCAACTATTACGAGGCCATGCAACAAACGAAAATTTTCAAGTAAGTTGTTACTCGATGTAATTCGAATTTGTTTCATTGGCCAATATAATTCATTAGTTTTCATTGGCCAATCGAAAGTTAATATAGTTAATGTAAATGTATCAGATTGATCATTAAGCGCATAGTGACAGTTTTATTCCTATAGAATTCGTGTGATGCATTTTCTTGAGTGAAAGTTGGCATGTCGTTGTCATTATTATGTTTAAATCGTTTAAGGATGCCGGGATTTTTCCCCCACGAGACATTCTTTTTTCTATATTCAGTTTCCATTATATGTCTAATCTATTAGCGATGCAAAATTTTTTTTTATAGACGGTGTTAAGTGATATTTTCGTTTGCCTAGTTTCGAAGCAGTCTTGAATTATATTTTATATTATGATATTACTTACTTCTTGATATCTTCTTTTATAACAAAGTTAAACAGAAACATGCAAATGTAAAAGAAACTTTTATAACTTTTGCAAACCAACTTCTTACATCACTCAAAAAAAGACAGAGACGTGAAATATATTTCAAATATTTAATATGTTACTTTGACAGGTGATAATTAAAAATGATAGCTCTTTCACACGTAACACAGTAAAATTCACTCCTCTTGTCTACGATGTTTACTCAAACCTGTTAAGATTTTGAGTAATACAATTACCAAATGTTTGATGAATTTAGAGTCGCGCGTGTGAACATCCACAAAGTTAATGAACTTCCATTTTCGTCCTACAGATAATTATAATCGTTATCGCGTGTCAGATAATCGGATCGAAATATATTCTCTATTTATTTCATTGATAACAATTGAAATCGTAGTGCCATTCCCGTTGATATTTCATATCCGTTTTACGCGTTTTCGCGTCACGTGATCGTCACGCTTCTGCCATAAATTGATATTTAATGCAGTAATTAAAAAAAAAAAAAAAAAATTAACGCGATAAGAAAACGAAAAAAAATTATTAATATTATCCGGCAGAAAAAGTGATAACGTTACGAGTACGATAAATGGTAATTTGATTGAAGACAAAGTCAAATTATCTTTGCATTGCACGTCAAGTTATTTGCAAGTAATCAATATTAGATTTAGATCGTGTGAACATTTCGAATGGCGTTTGTCTAAAGACGGTAGCTGATGAATGATCGTTTTCGAGACAGAAAGAAAACGATAGAAAAAGAATAATTGAATAATTCAAGACCTGACTGCTGTTATCATTATGATAATGATAAAGCCAAAAAGAAAAAAAAAAGAAAAGAGAAAGAACGGAAAGCTTGGTCATATTGATGCTACGTGACTATATGCACAAATAAAAATGGCACTGAATACATAGCAACACGATACTGGTACATACCCAATCTGTAGCGAGAGCAGCTTCAATCAAGGGTACAATAGATACATGTATACGTATGTATTAACTATGGAAGTGTAAACTCCTCTGTGATATATATTCTGTTCACACTTTATCTACGGAACATAAATTTCTGAAGTTAAACATTTATAATACGTTAATGCATGCTTTACAGTTTGATAAATAAGAAATATTTATCAACATTCCAAATCGTTTCAGTTCGTTGAAATTGTTGTCACAACAATTAGTTAGTTGTTTCAAAGTTAAGTGGGGAACTTCAAATTTTTGAAAAATTTCAAAGAGGTTACTTTCTGAGGTGAAGGTTGATCTAGTAGTTGCAATTAAGTTTCTGTTTGTTTTACTATGTCACTGTACGTTTAACATTACATGATTCGTTAAGCTTTTCAACACGATTTGCGTAATTTTCTACGAGAAATACGTTTAATGGCGCTTCTTGTTTTCGTCTCTCAAACACGAAATTTCAAATTGTAGGAAAATTTTACGTAGATGTAGGTACAAAATTCAATTTCAAATTCAAATTCAATTTCAGTGATCTTTCAATATGAAGTTTCACTGTAAATTACATATAATTGCAATTTACAATTCCATTAATACTAACTAAATGTTAATGGCCATAAATTCGTGCAACGTTTTTATATCAGATAAACATACGATAGAATCAAAATAATAATATAATATATATAATTATATATAATTATATATAATTATTATATATAATAACAATAAAGGAACATGAATCACCATCTTCATACACAATATTTATATTATTTCAAATTGAATCTCTAATCCATTTCTACGACTGAATAGAATTATCCTCTAATAATGACCGTTCTTCCGTATGTTTTAATTTATATTTATCTTTGAGATATACTTACACAAATATTGTCGACAGGTAGAATTTCTTAAATTCTGAATGCATACTCTCAAAACTTGATAAAGAAAAAATAGAAGTACACTTTCAAATTTCTATTCATATTTCAACTATATATATAAATAAATAATAATATAAATAATAAAATAACTATATATATATATATATATATATATATATATATATATATATATATATATTCATATTTCAACTTCTTTCAGCAGTTCTCCTGCAGTGTTATTAATATTAATATTTGAACAGCATAAGAATGAGTATTCGATTGTTAAAAATGCATATAATATTGTTAAATTCATCGCGTTTTGCTGTTTAAATTGCGTTTACTTCAGACTAAAATTAGCGATAGTGGATAGTAATTATGCGCCCGCCGGTGATTCTCGGCACGTGCGCGCCAACACTGGAATGCAATGATTCGCGCATGCGCAGGAAAAAAAAGAAGAAGGCGACGGAATGACACACCGACATACATTCGCCACACGCGCGAAATATTCATACTGTCAATCGCAACAATTGTACGATTATTTCACAAAAATTGGTCGGAAACATTGGACATTCATGATACTTAATGAAAAAAATAATGCAGCGTCCTACAGCACATATGTATGCGTCACAACGCATAAATCTTTTTGACAGTAGATCAGTTTTGGATCAAGTTTGGTATTAACTTTATTTTTCAATTAATGAATTAATGAAAGCCGAATTTTCAATGAGAGACGTTGAATTGAAATTAGGATCATTGAAAAATTATCGTCTATTCATTCACAATAAGTAATGATACGAGCAAAGCTTCCGATAGTAAGAATTGTAAAATTATAAAAGAAATGAATAATATATAAAATTATATACTATTGTAATATTATTATATATAATATATAATTTATATTATATAATATTATAATATTACAATATTATAATTATTATATAATATAAATTATATATTATTTATTATAATATTATATAATACAATATTGTAATATTACAACATTATAATATTATATAATATAAACAGAAAAACACATGGATCCAAGATTTATACGTAGTTTTGTATGAGTAAAAGGAACGTGTGTCGAATATTTTTTAGCAACCCCTTTTGGAAACACACTTTCATGTTTTTCAAGAGTAATTTCAGAATTAACATTGAGCAAACAAACTCTGTTTCTGTCAAGTCTGTTAAATCCTCTTCTTACAACGTTTTATGCAAAATTCTGCTCGTATCATCTTTCTGCCGTCCGATTATAGTTGTGGCTTTTATGGAAGTAGGACATACTTCGCAAACATTATTTTAACATAGTTTAACATACGAAGCATCTCAACATTTTGGCTGGTATTCAAGATCGAAAATATCTATTTTTATGCGACGAAGAAAAAAATATGCAGTCGGATGACGCGATGGAGAGATAGCATTGTTTAGAGAATGTCATTGAGAATGCTGGAAAATTAGTCCAAGGCTTTCGTTAAATCTTTTGACGACTATCTAATTTGACATTTCTTTTTTCTTCTTTTCTGATTGATTGATCGATCGATTTCTTCCGTATGAAAATCGAACGCGACGATACCGATTAATTATGAATGACGATAGAATGGAAATTAACTGGTTTTGTATAAAGTGAACATACACACACAAATAAGTGAAATCTTTTTTTTTTCTTTTTTTTTTTTTTTTGTGAAATTTTTAGATCAATTAAAATTAAATAATTATTCTTCCTGATTCATAATAATTCGAGAAAGATTTTTCTTAGAATTGATTTGTTAAATTGATTTTCTATTAATTCTTACTTTTCTGCGTTTCATCTCTACAAATCACAGTTCTTCAAGTCATTCTTCAAACTTATTGTTAGCAAGTCATTCCGATCTAAACCGAAACTCTCTTCATCTATTCTTTTCCTTCGCTTCTTTCAAATCGTATCTCAGTTATGCACGATATGCATTGACGATGAAAGGAAATATATTGTAGTCGATCTGTTATGCTTTTACAACATAAAAATGTGTAACAGTTGCGTAATTGTTTCGTCCACGTACGGCGAACGAAAGATATTCAGTTTCGTTATGTTGATAGAACACGTCTTGAAATTCGTCAAAAAATTCGAAAAATACAATCGAGGAAAGATCACGAATATTTTGAAAATATTTCTAATATATCGGTGAATCGACGTAATTCGCCGATATGAAATATATTCGAGGAAAGAGCAGGGAAACTCAATAAGAGACGTCAGCGTGTCAAAAAAGAATCTAAATGTGCCAACAACGTGCTTTACGTCGTTTCCGATCTCACGTGACACTGATCCATTATGATTCATAAAAGAAAAAAGAAAAAAAGATACGTGCATCGGAACGGACGCGTGCAAGGAATTTTAAAAATCGGAATTACCCATTCATGAAATTCCCGAGTCCCTAAAACTTTTTTTTTCTGCTGACTGTCGTTTCACGAGAAAAAGCAGGTAGTTCCCCCAAGAATTTTAATGGTTGCGATGCCGGAGGCCTGTCTTGCTTCGATGTTAGCTCAGCTGGCTCTCGGTCAAAAGACACATCACGAAATCCATCGGAAGAGATGAAAGTGAACGCGTTCAAACGTTTACGTAGTTCAAATATCCCGCCGAAAATATAGCCCCGAGCTGATTATATTATAAATATCATTTGAAACTAAAATATCATTGAATAGCAAATAACTTATTGCTTACATATTTTAAATTATGCGTCATACCACTGATGCATTTAAATTGTAATAGCAATTTTATTTAAATTCACTGATTATTTAC